TATATATATATATATATATATATATATATATAAACACCATTTTATGATTTAATGTTAAAAATAATGTTTAAATGTTATATTTTTAATGATTAATAGCCTGACTTACTAATATTCATTCTTTTTCTTTTTTCGGCTTAGTCCCTTGTTAATCCAGGGTCGCCACAGCGGAATGAACCGCCAACTTATCCAGCAGGTTTTTTTTACGCAGCGGATGCTGTATTTTAGTGACATTTTAAGCACTATTTTAACCAAATATATTTTCTAAAGATTTAGAACAAAGAAAAATGAATAAACACTTATTTTTAAAATACAAATGTATTAGATCATAAAACGTTAGAAAAAATAGGAATCTGTTGAAGTGTTAAATTGAACCACCTGAACCCCTCTGGCTATGGGCTTGCATAGTTACCATGAATAAGGTTCAAGTTGGGATAATTTTGACACTTACCACCACTTTTTTCATGTTGGAGCTGGAATTTATGTAACTTATATGCTGCTGTGATTTCAGTTCAGTTCAATCGCATTGTCAGACTATTGTTGTTGACACCTTGGAGTGAAAACAGACTTAACTTGAGGCCGGGTGACCTGGTCCGATAAAAACACTACACAGACAGCATGATCGTCCTTCTCGGAACCGCAAATGGCCATGGCATGACCGCAGTATAACTCGCACGTCTTCCTTGTCAACACACAGGCGTGCGCAGAAAGCGGGAGACGCGTCTCTATAGCAACCTCTCACGACACAACCTCTCCAATGCGGCGCCTCGTGATATTTGCAAACAAAACATCTGGATCTTTTTTTATTATCATTTGACAAAAAAAATTTACAAAAAATTTACTTAAGTAAGAGTAAAAGTACACATATTTAAATGTACTCAAAAAGTACACGTTACCCAATCATTTTAATCAAGTAAATGTAACGAAGTAAATGTAACTCGTTACTACCCACCTCTGATTATGACATTGCGGCGAATGCGTCAAGTATATATATATATATATATATATATATATATATATATATAGTTCAATGATGCATTTAACCTGTCTTTAGTACTGTTCAGTTTATATGATTTTATTTTACCACAAATTTTTTGTGATTTAGCATTTTCTCTCGCGTGTTTTTGATATTGTGATATAGGTTTTAAATTCAATACTTAATGGTAGGGGTGTCAAAATGAATTTTTTCTTCGGTGCACCGCGATGCAGACACGGAAATTCGGTATTGGTTCAGTAATAATCATAACCGGTTATTATGTACTGACGTCATTTATCTCCTATGCGCTCTGTCGCGAGGGAGGTGAGCGCGAGTATTTACAACACTCAGGAGCCATCTCAGGGCCGGCGCGTGGCATAGGCAGTATAGGCAAATGCTAAGGGCGCTGTACATCCAGGGGGTGCCAGAAATGAGCGTGGTTAAGTTGGTTTTGTTTTCGATATTCCTGACACGTTCAGTTATAGCGGCAATAACTCAAAAACCTCTTACCCTAAAAAGATCTAAAGTGTGTTTCCTACAGAAAGACAAAGCTGATTATGTTTCGCAGCTGTCTTTTTCATTTTTTTTCACTCGACATTATAACCACTGCTCCGTTTAGGCCCTTGTAATATGTGTTTAGCCGAGAGAGCTCGCGCGGAACGGAGTAAGGGACCGTCGGAAAAGTGCTTCTTTTTCTGTTTTTTTTGTTGTGTTTATACAGACTAGGGGTGTCACGAATTAATGCTCAATTTCGATAATCGAATAAAAAAATAGAATCGTCGATGCTGCCACGCCCCCATGTCACATCAGCTTGGGTTGCCAAGCGGGAAAAAAACAGGCTTGTTGAAGTGCTTGTTAAACTGCAGAAGCAGGAGACCCGTCGACAGAGCTTAAACCCTCTCCTCTTTCAATGAAGTCGCCGGTGTGGAAGCATTTTGGATTTCCAGTGAGTTATGTTGACAACGTTCGTGTTGTCGACAAAAAAAAAACACAGTTTTGCAAGCTCTGCTATGTACGTATTACGTACGGTTCGTCCGATAGAAAACACCGGCATCGCGATCCTCCGCCCGCCCCCGTTGCAAATCCGCTCGCGAAAAGTACACACTCAGGCCCTGTTTACACTGTCTTTGTTTTTAAATGGCATTTTAGAACAACAACGATTTGACATCCACAGTGGCGTGTAGCATTTCTGAGCAGCCCTCCTTCCTCTCTACTGCTGAAAATGTACATCACGTGACCACACAGACACAGACGCACACACAGACAGACGCACACACACACAGCCATACACTCAAGACAGCAGGTCCAGGCAGTCAGAGGACTGCTTCAATCTTTCACTCACTTGTACTTAGTCATTTTAGCGAACACCTCAGATACTGTTGGCTGGTTCCTGTTGGTTGTGCGTCTTTTTTACCGACGCCATTATAACGACACAGATCACTGCCTATTCACGAGTCCCGCAGAAAAAGTGATTGACAGGTGGTCATTATGTGTGTATCTTGCCTTTATTCATTTACTGTATGATTTGTTTATGGGTAAAACAAAGACCACGCAGGTCAGGTAGTTTAAACGGTAGGCTACAAATAATTAATTGGTCATTAATTAATTAACTATTCATAATCGAAAATCGAATCGAATCGTGCCTTTAGAATCGAAAATGTAATCGAATCGAGGATTTGGAGGATCATGACACCCTTAATACAGACAGCTTGTTATAGCCTCCCCCCCCAAAATATAACACTGTGTATAGAAAGCATCGTCAATGCACTGTGATGCACCGAGATATCGAATTGAACTGAATCGATGGCATGATAATCGTAACCGAACCGAACTGTGAGAGCAGTATAGGTTCTCACCTCTACTTAATGGTCTTAAAAAGGTCTTTTAAAGTCTTAGATTTGACATTATGACATCTGCAGAAACCCTGCCTACAGACACTTTGCATAAGATAAATAGAAACAAGGAATTAATACAAAACAAAATACAAGTATACACAAATAGTGTGCAAGAAATCAGAAAAAACACACAAATCACAAACAACATGAAGTACCAATTAGTGGAGAGAGATGCAGAAGGCTGACATTTACCAGTGTGATGAAGAAACTGATCGTTTCAGACAGAGTTACATGTTAGGAAGGATAATGAGGAGAGGTTGAAGCTTTATAATGAGGGAGAGAGAGCATTATAAGTGAGTGTGAAGTGTTGAGTGTAAAGTTCGGCACTCTCAATATCACATTAATCATCTTTATTCTGTACTCGGTTTTGTGGAAGAAAAAAAAAATAGCACATTGTAAAAGTCCATACTGCAGATTAATGTATCCTGTAAAACATTCGCAACTGCTTCTTAATAAAAACAAATGCAGTTAAATGTATAAATACCAGTACACTTTCTTTTTCAAATATTTCTCAATTGATGTTTCATAAAAAACAAACCTTTAAATAAAGATCATTCATGCATGCATGCTGGAGACACGTCTAGACTGAGTCAGTAGCTCATTATTGCATTGTAGACCAGTGCAGGTTGTGACCTTTGACCTCTTGCATACACAGGGTCAGGCTGCTTCCTCATGAAGACGGAGATCATGTGGAAAATGTTGCGTACACTGACGGCTATGAACAAGACTATGACTGGGATGGAGAGTATTATGAGCAAGACTCGGCAGCTTATGATGACTGCAGGTAAACCGCAGGGAGGATATACAGTTGAAGTCAGAATTATTAGCCCCCCTTTGAATTGTTTTTCTTTTTTAAATATTTCCCAAATGATGTTTATCAGAGCAAGGACATTTTCACAGTGTGTCTGATAATATTTTTTCTTCTGGAGAAAGTCTTATTTGTTTTATTTCAGCTTGAATAAAAGCAGTTTTTAATTTTTTAAACACCATTTTAACCCTTGAATGGTGTCCTGGTCTGTGAGACCTAGTTTCAGTGTTTTTTTCAAAAGAAAAATTAAACAAGGAATTATTTTTTCAACATAAAATTCATTGGCTTTAGCTAATTTTCTGTGAAGAACATAAATCCGAACAAATTTTCAATGACCGCATAATGTACCTCCCCCCACACATTTACATTACATATAAGGTGTTCGGGTCAACTAGACCCAGGTCTAATAAAAGTCTTGAACGTGTAGATACAGTGTTCCCACCATAGACTGTAAAATATATGGACGTAGTATCCGTGACGTCACCTATAGGTTTCTAAAGAGCGCAAAAGAAGCCACAAGTAGGCGTGGCCAACCGTCGCCATTTTGTTCGCGCGTCATCACACCCACGGCGGGATACCAAACAAGGGCAAAGAGGCGGAGAGTGAGCGGAGCTACAGACACCTGCTGGCATTTAGCTTGGACCTGGTTCAGTCACACTTTACTTTGGGAAAACGCTTAATACTTTATCACCTGCGACTCGTTTGTGTTCTGAACACTTGTGCTTGGCTGTACACTATATCAAGTGTTTAGTCTTTTAAAAACACTGCTGTAATGTGTTAGTTAATGTAAGACTATTGATGAAATCCAGCATAACACTGTATGACAACGCTTCAGATGACTGATCTAGAGCCTACAGCTAATCAATCTGACAGATTCTGGAGTGCATTACAGCTCTAAATATAAATATAAACGATAAATGATCTTAAATAAGACAAATACATGTATAGAGATGGTATATAAGTATATAACTTTACTCACATGGGAAACGGAGGCCACGTGAATGGTTTGTGAGCACAATTAAGTTCACTCAGCATGCCATGCCATCTAATAATTGTAGGAAACAAGTCCAAAAGGCAGTTGACTGTGTAAAGCCACATAAAACAACACAGAGATACGATAAATATGCCGAGTTCAGTGGCTAATCTGCAGGATTCAGCTGAGGTGACGTGACGGCGACCAACGAGACCTAGCTGTCACTCAAGTGGCCACGCCCTTAATTATGCAAACTTAATATAACTTAATATAAAGGAAACGGACGAGTTATAAAAAAATTCACCCCCCTCACAGTTGTCATGAAGGGTAATATTAGTTGTATTAACCAAAATCTTTTTTTGTACCAGGCTGTAAACACCTTTTTTTTCTGCTGTAAAGTTGTTCATTCTAACAGTGGGCTCAATTGAAATTTGCTCTGTTTTGGAGCCAGGAGCGGCCAGGACTAGCGGGATTTCAGATGAATTGCAGTTTTAGTTACTTCCGTATTGGCTTCCTGAGGGAGAGCGGGAGGTTGCCGCTTGGTTCCCACACTCTGTCTTCCTTCTTTCTGGTGCTGCTGTTTTCTTCCCCTCCCCCTCCTGCTCCCGCAAAAAGTTGCAACATTGTGGAAAATTCAACCATCAACCCTGTCTGCTTTTACATTCCCGCACATTTTACCCTCTCTCTTGCGGGAACCAAGCTTTATTTTCTCATACCCTGTGCCATCTGCATATTAGGGGCATAATACTATAAATAAGACTTTGCCAGTGTGGTTCCTTATCACAACTGATAAAGATGGCCAAAAGATTATCTGCTGCGAGGGCCTTGCAATTGATTGTGGAAGAGAGAGGAGCTTCTGGTGATGATGTCCATGACCATGGTGGTAACAATACGAAAAAAACAAATTTGTTGGTTTTATTTTTTTCATTACATTAATAATATTAAGAAAAAAATCGAGAAGCACATTTATTCATCAATATGATCTAGCAAAGGTAAAGGGGAAAATTAACCATGCGTGCTGTGCATATGGCTTGTAATTGGGATTAAGTAAATATTTGTTGAGTAATTTAACAAAATATTGTTTGATAGTGTTTTTTGGAAAGCCAAAACTCTAGCGGGTCCAGACTAATGAACACTGGCTGAGTAACCAAAATACGAACACCACACAAGGATTAAGGAAAAAATCATAAGCCCCTTTAAGTTAATTTTTTTTAGATGAATACAGAACAAACCATCATTATACAATAACTTGCCTAATTACCCTAACCTGCCTAGTTAACCTAATTACCTGATTAAGCCTTTAAATACCACTTTAAGCTGTATAGAAGTGTCTTGAAGAATATCTAGACAAATATTATGTGCTGTCATCATGGCAAAGATAAATTAAATCAGTTATTAGAGATGAGTTATTAAAGCTATTATGATTAGTAATGTGTTAAATAAATCTGCTCTCGGTTAAACAGAAATTGGGGAAAAAAATAAACAAGGGGGCTAATAATTCAGGGGGGCTAATAATTCTGACTTCAACGGTATATATTTTTTAATTTAATTTTTTATGTTATTTCTATTTTTTTGCTTGTTTATTTTACAGGGACAATACACTTGACATTGTTACACAAAGATAACCGATGTTGTGTACATAGGGCTGTAGCATAAAGCTAATTTGCAGCCCTCGTCCCTGGTTAGGCTTTACATTAAAAAAAAAACAATCAAGAATAAAACATAATACAACAAACATGTACAATATTTACAGAGCCACAAACATAAAGTGCAAGTCAATCTGCATAAAGAGAAATGTATTGCTGTAAAGATTTCAGCCATTCTCTCAGCTTTACAGAAAATAAAAATACTGTGAGTTCTGATTGTAACTTTAAATGAACAGGCATGGCATGAATACCTTTTACTGAAAAGGATGACTGACCCACAGCGGTTCTGCATCTACGGATTCTCCAGTTCCCACTTACAAACATTCAAATGTTGTATTTCAGAGCACAACAGAAGCAGTGCATTGCTGAAGTTTGGCTTCTTCTACATTCAGACACATTCATACGTTGTGTTTGGAACTGTATAACAATTTGTGGATGCAACAATTATAGATTTTGGTTGTACGATTATATAGTCTGAAGAATAATCATGATTTCACGGTTATCCCGTCTAATGTAAATTCAAGCTTTATATTAGGTAAGTTATTTAGAATAACTGTTGTTGCCATCTGCATTCATACATACTGTACATAATCATTTTAATAATAATTCGTCTTACATATCTTTTTGTTTACATTGCACAGAAAGGCACGCACAAGTCTCGATTGAATAGCGCTGCTGTAGTGCATCTAGTTATTGCCCAGCAGGCACACAGCATTATAAGACATTAATTCTAGGTTAGATTTAGATTGTGATGTCAGGTGACCAAAATTCAATGACAAGGCAGAGTCTAAACAACGTTATTTTGATGTCCAATAACGACGTTGACATTTGGCTGTTTTTAGGTTGTTGGAAAGTGACCAAAATCCAACGTCGAGTCAACATCTTAAATCAATGTCATATTGACAAAGACCGTCATTTAATTCTCAGTTATGGCAACCAAAATGCATCATCTGATAGACGTCATAGTGTTAACGTTCACACAATGTCAAGCTGTGACATCATTAAACGATGATATTTGGTTGGGCATTGACATTGGCCTGACATTGAGTTCTGAAGTCAACCTGATTTTCCCATGACGTTAGGGTACAACGTCAATCTGACATCATGTTGACATCTTGTGCCTTTAGGTGTTTAAGGCCATTTTAGTGTAGGGTAAACATCCATCATCTTCTCATCAGTGACCGGCATCTAAACAGTCTCTGGGGTCAAGGTGTGTAAAGATTTCGGACATTATCTTGGACACTTTTAAAGCTTCCAAACAGTTTGCTGCAATTATTAAAAAAAAGCCCATGTCTTAAGGTAGTTCATTATGGACAGGAATCACAGGACTGATTTTTCTAATCCCCATAGAAATAATAAAGTAGTGACTGCAGATTGAAGGAAAGTAGTGGAGTGAAAGTACCGATACTGTAACATACCAGACGTGCGGGAAAATAAGGACAGTTTATTAGGTATAGTACAACAAAGGTAGACTGCCGCACGCAATACCCAGGCGGTGCGCAGTACTGGATAACTCAAAGTTCTTTAGATGAAAACAGATGGGTCCCGCAAGAGAGGTCAGAGAAGGAGTAGAGGAGGAGAGCTGGCATCAGCTGACAAACCCCGGCTGGGGACCAGATGCAGGCAGGCACTTGAAGGCTGGTTAAGCAGAGTGTAGGTAAGAGTACACACACACAATGATAGCACGCAGGATAGAACCTACTGGACTGCACAAACGTGTAGCGATCCACAAACTGCGAGGTGAACCACAAAAGCGATATAATAATCTGACACAGAAACAGAGAACATAGAAGATTAAGTAGGGACGTTAATAGGCAATAAGTGGCGACAGGTGCTAATGCAATGATAGTTAATGGGGAGAACCTGCAGCTGCGAGACCAAAGGGGCAATACAGTGTGATAGAATTAACGAGATCAGACCTGACTCATGACAGATACTGGACTAAACATGTACTCAAGGGAAAGTAAAAGTACATATTTAGAAACTACTTAGTAAATTAGAATTCCTGAGAAAAACTACTCAATTACAGTAATCTGAGTATTTGTAATTTGTTACTTTACACCACTGCATTTGGATAATATGGACACAATGATTTTATTTAAATAGCTGACATTACAAAACTTTCCTGAAGAAATACAAAGATAAATCCATATGAAACAAGCAGATTAATCCAAGAAAATAAACACATTTCTCATGGTTTTCAATGACTGGAGGGTGAGTAAATGATGAGCTGATGTTTATTTTGAGTAGACTAAGCTTTAACATTAAGAATCTGACTGAAATAAAAGGTAGTTGGAGGTAGTGAGTGCATCAGTTTTGTAATTTATTCAAATTGTTAGCCTCTCTTTCCTGCCTTCTAATGTAAAACTCTAGACTGTTTCCATTATAATCTCTTCAGGGGTTTAGACATTATGTGCAAACACCTGTTTATGATGAAGGAAGTATAACACAACTGAAATGTACTCAGCTTACCAGATATTCTACTTTTGGTTCTTTATTATGTTCCACAATGTCTTGTCTTTTTGCAGCAGACCCAAGAGGAAATCCAGCAGTTCACCTTCACCTCGTCCAAAGAAGAGGAAAAAGAAGAAGGCACGAAGACACAGCCGGTGAGTTTGCTTTCTGTCATCTAAAACAGTGTCATAATTTACAGAAAAATCAGTTCAGTCTGTGTCCATTATACGTTGTGCGAAAGTTTGTGAGCCCCTCGCAGAATCTGTGAAAATGTGAATAACACGATTCACTATGTGCTTGGGGGTGAAAACGTGTTATTTTTACTTTATTAAGCTGTCCTGAGCAAAGGACTTTCAATAAAAGATGTTTAAAAACTGACCTTATTCTTTAATGCGGACGTGCGCTCGCTTTTGCAATTGATTTAGAACTTCCCATTTAGTTGCCTATGTGAGGGGGAGGGGGGAGACTTTTGCATTCGAAGATCAATGTTAATCGGGCTTCATTTGGCTTCCAGGAAACATGCAAATATCTTCTGTTACTTCTGAAGGGCAGTACTAAATGTAAAATGTATATATATTTTACATGTATATATATATATATATATATATATATATATATATATATATATATATATATATAAAACTTGTTATTTTACTTCATTCAGCACTCTCCTGATTAAATATAGTTCACAAAACAAAAACATATTGCTGGAAGGGTTAAAATTTGGGGGGTGAAAACTTTTGAATGGGACGATCAAGGTAAAGCATGCTTCATTTGTCTTTCAGAAAACATGCAAGTATCTTCTGCTGCTTCTGAAGCGCAATACTAAATGCAAATTATATATCTATATGGACCTCTAAATCCTGTTTAAAAGTTTTTAAAATCAATTAATGGTGGCATAATCACAAACTTTTGCACAGGCTTATATAAAGAATTCCATCTATTTATTTTGTCTTGTGAACTATATTTAAAAGTATGTTATGTAAAATATCTTACTCGGGTCAGTACTAAATAAATAATATATTTTTATTCTCTCCTATTTTGTTAAAATGATTCACAATTTGAGATATTCTGTGAGAGGTTCACAAACTTTGAATGCCTCTGAACTATGGAGGAAACTTGCAAAAACATTTAATAAATAAATAGGCAAATAAATAATAAGTAAATAAATCCATAAATTCCAGCATAAATAAAACAAGAAATAAATAAATATGCAAATAAATATTTAAGTAGATAAATAAATCTATAAATTCCTGCAAAAAAACACTAAATAAATAAATAAATACGCAAATACATAGGTAAATAAATCTATAAATTTCTGCATAAATAGATAAATAGGCAAATAAATAAATAAATAAACAAATCTATAAATTCCTGCATAAACAAAACAATAAATAAAAAATACGCAAATAAGTAAATAAATAAATCTATAAAATCCTCCATAAATAAATAAATTAATAGGCAAATAAATAAATAAGTAAATAAATCTATAAATTCCTGTATAAATAAAACAATAAATAAATACGCAAATAAAATAAATAAGTAAATAAATTCATAAATTCCTGCATAAATAAAACAAATATATAAATAAATAGGCAAAAAAATAAATAAGTAAATAAATCCATAAATTCCAGCTTAAATAAAATATGAAATAAGAAATACTCAAATATATATTTAAATAAATAAATATTTAAAATATTTAAATCTAAATTCCTGCAAAAAACATTAGATAAATAAATAATACGCAAATAAATAAATAAATAAATAAATAAATAAATCCCTGCATATATAAATAAATAGGTAGACAAATAAATAAATAAGTAAATAAATGTATACATTTTTGCATAAATAAACAAATAGGCAAATAAATAAATAAATAAATCTATTAATTCCTGAAAAAAACACTAAATAAATAAATAGGCATATAAATAATTAAATCTATTAATCCCTGCATAAATAAAACAATAAATAAATACACAAATAAATCCATAAATTCCTTCAAATATAAAACAATAAATAATAAAAAGTCAAATAAATAAGTAAATAAATCTATAAATTCCTGCATAAATAAAATAATTAATTAATAAATACGCAAATAAATAAGTAAATCTATAAATTCATGCATAAATTAAACAATAAATAAATACACAAATAAATAAATAGGCAAATAAATAAATAAGTAAATAAATCCATAAATTCCTGCATAAATAAAACAATAAATAAGTAAATACGCAAATAAATAAATAATTAAGTAAATAAATCCATAAATTCCTGCATAAATAAAACAAATAAATAAATACATATGCAAATAAATAAATAAATCCATAAATTCCTGCATATATAAAACAATAAATAAATGCGCAAATAAATAAATAAGTAAATACATCCATAAATTCTTTAATAAAAAAACACTGCACTGTTGTAAATGTTCTAAATGTATAAGAGACCTGGATGATCTGTTATTTTTGCTTAATGCATTGTATTTAATAATGCAATCTGCTCCATCTCCACTATATTCTCTTATTTCATGCATTGCAACTATCAGAAGTTGAAATGTAATGAAATATTTAAGGTTTGTTTGAAATTTTGCTATATTTATGAGCGAAGTATAAAGTGATGTAGCGAGGAACAGAAAAATTCAAGAATGCAAGAGCAACAATGAATAACAGACATTTAAAGTGGTTTATTAATAGAAAAAAGGAAAGATAATGTAAGCATGTGTGATGTGCATTTGTGATGTGTTTGTGTGATACCCAGCACTGACAGTTTGTCTCCCACCCGCAGAGACAAGAGGAAGAAAAGCGGAAAGAAACACAAAAGAGACAGGTGTGTATGTGTGTGTTCATTCACACAGGTGTGCATCATTCACCAGTCCATTAGCTCTGATCTTCCTGCCAGTAATCATCAATCTGTCCCTCAGGGAATGTGTTGAAGAGCACACTGTAATGTAGCTATGCAGTATGCTAATTTTCTGCATTTATCACTTCTGTACTTCAAGCAACCCAAAGTGTCATTGTATTATAAATGAGTAACCAAAATGCATGAAAAGATTTAGTTAAAAGTTTCATGTCATATAAATACACTCATCGGCCACTTTATTAGGTACACCTGACTAGTACCGGGTTGGACCCCTTTTGCCATTAGAACTGCCTTAATCCGTTGCTGCATAGATTCATCAAGGTACTGGAAATATTCCTCAGAGATTTTGCCCCATATTGACATGAGAGCATCACACAGTTGCTGCAGATTTGTCGGCTGCACATCCATGATGTAAATCTTCAATTCCACCACATCCCAAAGGCGCTCTATTGGATTGAGCTCTGGTGACTGTGGAGGCCATTTGAGTACAGTGAACTCATTGTCATGTTCCAGAAACCAGTCTGAGATGATTCACGCTTTATGACATGATGTGGTATCCTGCTGGAAGTAGCCATCAGAAGATGGGGACACTGTGCTCATAAAGGGATGGACATGTTCAGCAGCAATACTCAGGCAGGCTGTGGCGTTGACATGATGCTCAATTGGTACTGATGAGTCCAAAGTGTGCCAAGAAAATCTCCCCCACACCATCACACCACCACCACCAGCCTGAACCGCTGATACAAGGGAGGATGGATCCATGCTTTTATGTTGTTGATGCCAGATTCTGACCCGACCATCAGAATGTGGCAGCAGAAATGGAGACTCATCAGAGCAGGCAACGTTTCTCCAATCTTCTATTGTCCAGTTTTGGTGAGTCTGTGTCAATTGTAGCCTCAGTTTCCTGTTCTTAGCTGACAGGAGTGGCACCCGGTGTGGTCTTCTGCTCCTGTAGCCCATCCGCCTCAGGGTTGGACGTGTTGTGCGTTCAGAGATGCTCTTCTGCAGACCTCGGTTGTAGCGAGTGCTTATTTGAGTTACTGTTGCCTTTCTGTGAGCTGAACCAGTCTGGCCATTCTCCTCTGATCCTCTGATCAGCAGTTTCTGAAATAGTCAGAGCAGCCCGTCTGGCACCAACAACCAAGCCACGTTTAAAGTCACTTTAATCCCCTTTCTTCCCCATTTTGATGCTCAGTTTGAACTGCAGCATATCAACTTGACCATGTATACATGCCTAAATGCATTGAGCTGCTGCCATGTGATTGGCTGATTAGAAATTTGCGTTAATGAGCAGTTAGACAGGTGTACCTAATAAAGCGGCCGGTGAGTATTATATTATATTATATTATATTATATTATATTATATTATATTATATTATATTATATTATATTATATTATATTATATTACTTAGTCTTAGTCCCTTATTTATCAGGGGTCGCCACAGCTGAATGAACCACCAACAGTTCTAGCATATGTTTTACATAGCGGATACCCATCCAGCCACAACCCGGTACTGGGAAATTTAACATAATAATATAATATAATATAATATAATATAATATAATATAATATAATATAATATAATATAATATAATATAATATAATATAATATAACATAATAATATAATATAATATAATATAATATAATATAATATAATATAATATAATATAATATAACATAACATAATAATATAATATAATATAATATAATATAATATAATATAATATAATATAACATAATAATATAATATAATATAATATAATATAATATAATATAATATAATATAATATAATATAATATAATATAATATAACATAATAATATAATATAATATAATATAATATAATATAATATAATATAATATAATATAATATAATATAATATAATATAATATAATAATATAATATATTCTACTTCTATTTACTAAGAAATTATTAATATTTTTACACATTCTATCACTCACTTTCATTTGTAAATTTTGAGTATGTCGATTAGCGGACATATACTCATAGCATGATTAATGATGATTAAATCACACTTGCTGCAGTTATTGGCCTGCAGTGTATTCATTGTAGTGCATGTAATCTTCTTGATTCAGGACAGATCATTTTTATTTAGTTCACGTTGCGCTGATGGATTTATTAAAGCTTCACCTCATGTGACCGTCCTGTATCAACAGAGCATGACAGGGTTGAAGGATGCTGGAGTGCATGCGTATCTGTTTGTGCCAGCTTTATATAATAGAGTACACACCATCATAACACCCTGCATCCCTGTGTGAATATCTTATCACAGCAGCTTCAATACTGTCAGACGGTGTGCAAAGAGAGAAAAGTGTGAAAGAGAATCAACTATTTCTACTCTCAGTTGTGTGTTGGGAATTCATAGTGTTACTTAGGGTAAAGTAAGGTAAGATTTAAGTAAGACAACACATGTAGATTCAAAATTAATATTGCTAAAAAATAAAAAAATAAAAATAAAGTCAGTGCCAGTGTTGGAGTGTTTAGTGCGTCAACACATGCACTCCGGTGCTCATGGTGACCTGAGTTTGAGTCCTGCTTTGCGGTCCTATGCTGATCCTTCCCCTCTCTCTGCTCCCTTTGCTTTCCTGTTAATACTCTATACTGTCCTGTTCATTAAAGATGAAAACCCGAAAAAAAAAGAAAAATACAAGCTACACAATTTCAACTGAATTGCACGATTTAATTAATACCATCTTATCCAAATACTTTATAACAGGGGTCTCAAACTCAATTTACCTGGGGGCCGCAGGAGGCAAAGTCTGGGTGATGCTGGGCCGCATGAGGGATTTCACACAAAAAAAAAGTCCTCAAATGTCATTATTAACAGTTTTAATTATTTCTTCTGAACATGAAGTGTCCTGAACATTAATAGAACATTGAGTGAAGATTATGAACAGTTCTTCTGAACATGGCATCTTTTGCCTACTCCTTGCTGCCAGAGACTTGACAGCGCTTCTTCTCACAAATCAGTATGGCTTGGGAGAACTCACTCAAAACTTCCATTCCCTCACCCACTGCAGAGTGGATGCGCGCGTACTGAAGAGCGGTGTTGTCGCGCGCGGACTCAAGAGCGGTGTTATCGCGCGCGTACTGAAGGGCGGGACCGAAGGTGTGCCGCGTCGCGGGGGCACTTTTGATCATTTTGGAAGGGCACTTTCTATCCAAGACTAAAAAGGGCATGTGCACTGCACAGGTTGAACCCTATGTGTGCACGTGCCTGCCCTCACCTAAAAAAAGGCGTATATATGTATAAATAAAACACCCCCACCCCACTCCAGTCACATCAGTCTGTACCAGTCTGTATCTACCTATAATTTATTTCCTTTATTTAGCCAGGAGATCACATTGAGACAGTACTGTCTCTTCTTCCAGTGAGACCTGGTCAAGATGGCAGGCAGCACATAGAGTTTCATATAAAAATCACAAACAATACCACAAAATTACAAAATCACCATTCTTAAAACATCAGCTCATAACAAACAATTGCAGGTGTCCTTTAAAATGTTGTATAAAAGATGTTTAAAGTACTCAGGGTCGGAAGAGTGTCAAGATTGAGCTGATTTTGCAGGTCATTCCAAGCCCTGGGAGCGTGAACGAAAAAAGCACGTTTGCCAAGTTCTGATAATGCCCTTGGAACTATCAGACGAATACATGAACCAGATCTAGTGTGTTGGCTGTTGGTGTGAAATGTTAATAAATTAAAAATATAGGATGGTAATTTACCTAAAAGAGCTTTTAAAATAAATAAGTACAGATGTAATTTTCTCCTTTGATATAGAGATAACCAATCTAAGGAATCATACAAAATACAGTGATGCACTGTATACAGTGATACAGTGATGCATCTTATAATATATATAAGATGCAGGCTGTAGCTAGGTAGGTGGCAGGCTGCAGATAGGTAGCTAAGTGGCAGGCAGGGGCGGGATCAGCTTACCTTGGTTCTTGCCGGCGCTCCCTCCCTCCCAACACTTCCCGCCCGACAGCTTCCAGCAACTTCCCAGCGTCTAACAAAGGGACGGGGTGCGTGGTGACGTCACAGGCATCCCCGCCCCTTTGTTTACACGGCGGGCGGGGAATGCCAGTGACCACTGTGTACGGATAGAATCAGCGGAGCAGGGAGCGCTCTCTCTCCCCGCTCCGCTGATTCTGTCAGTGTACAGTGGTTGGCGCGGGCCACAAAATATTGCACTGAGGGCAGCAAATGGCCCGCGGGCCGCGAGTTTGAGACCCCTGCTTTATAAAGATATTTTAAAACTCCTTTGCTAGGCAGGGTTCAGAATAGGACACAGCACAGAGACAGCCTTGCTTCGTGTCATGAATGACCTGCTTGTCTCTGCTGACTGTGGAGCTTCAACTATCTTGCCTTTACTAGATCTCACTGCAGCTTTTGACACAGTTTGTCATTCTATATTGTTAAATAGGCTGGAGAAATGGCTTGGTATCACTGGCACCGTGCTTAACTGGTTTAAATCTTATTTTTTGGATCGTATGCAATTAGTGGTCATGGGAAATAATCAATCTGATGTCGAACAGGTCTGCCATGGTGTCCCTCAGGGGTCAGTCTTAGGCCCAATTTACACTAATGCATTTTAGTTTGAAAACGGATAAGTTTTGCTACGGTTACGCCATCCGTCCACACTACGCCGAAGTTTTCGAAGCGCCAAAAACGGAGCATTTTGAAAACGCTGGAGAGGCTGTTTTCATTCTAAAGCGCTGCTGCTCCGTCTCAGTGTGGATGAGGGAAAACGGAGACATCTGAAAACGGAGGCGGGGCTGCTGAGATTCATAAGCACATGATCCTCTCAAAATTACTTAAATAAACTCCACTAAACACAAAAAAGTCACCTCCAATATGTGAAGATATTAAATTTTTAGATTTAAAAATGTTTGAAGGCCATTGCATTCAATACAAAACATAACTCAAATTTTGCAGTCCTTTTTGTTTTTTCATTATCTTCAGTATTTTTGCTCAGTGATTAGTAATCAACAACAGCATTTAGCTATTTTTATTGAATATAGAATTGAAAGTATATCAGGTAAATACATAATGCACCCAGTGCTTAATTTGTGAATTGTGAGGTCCCGGAATAGAGCGGGGTAATGGATCCAGCATGTTACCTGAGGATAGAGAGGTGTCGTGCATGAAAATGGAGTGTGGGGGCGGGGAAGGTGTTGGTGCGGTGGATAGCCCGAAGGGTTTCACAGACGAAAGTGAGCGGTGCGGGGGGTGTCGCAGATGAAAGTAAAGAGGGTTGAGGAGTCGCGGAAGAAACTGAAAGTGAACAGCGGACGGGGAAGGAGGGCGGTTGAGGAGGGGGATTGCTAAAAAGAGGTGCCAGATCAGATTTCAGATGTGCCGGATCCGGAGTGTTCCAGCACAAATTAAGCCCTGAATGCACCAAACCACCTACACTGTAAATAATATCTGTTAATGAACAATTTCTGTATTTAGTGTTTTGTTTTTATACAGTGTATATTTTTTGCGTTAAAAACCAAGTATAATTATTCATTCATTCATTTTCTTTTGGCTTAGTCCCTTTATTAATTCGGGGTCGCCACAGCAGAATGAACCGCCAACTTATCCAGCAAGCTTTTACACAGCGCCACAACCCATCTCTGGGAAACATCCACACACACTCATACACCGCTACATAGCCTACCCAATTCACCTGTACCGCATGTCTTTGGACTGTGGGGGAAACCGGAGCACCCGGAGCGAACCCACGCGAAGGCAGGGAGAACATGCAAACTCCACACAGAAACGCCAACTGAGCCAAGTTTAGAACCAGCGACCCAGCGACCTTCTTGCTGTGAGGCGACAGCACTACCTACTGCGCCACTGCCTCGCCCCAATCAAATTTAATTTTGTTAAATTATTTGTTTGGCAAGTGTTGAAGTGTGCATCAATTAATGCCAACTGCATTGACTTGATCTCTAATAAACCTGCATGTCATATTAGAGATTGTAAATGTAAATATTCTGTTCACATATTTTAAGTGTGACTTCAGTGTCCATTTACACTTCAGACTGCAAACAGCATGAGTTGTCTGAGGGTCACAATCTAATGTCTAACCCATTGCTCTCAGGTCCACATCTGGCTCGCGGAGGAAGAGGAGGCACAGGTAAACACTAAGCTGAGATCATTTAGATGTGTTGTTTTAGGGACTGCAGGGTTTGTATTAGCCAATACCTACTTTTGTTCAAGAGTCATTTATTGACATGTAAAGTGAGCAGCCATGATTTATTGCAACACAAGCTCATTAGAAATATTTGCTTCTGCCCTGTGAAACTGTAAAAACACACTTCAACATACTACTAATGATATTTGGGTGACATTTCTAGATTAAAAATGAACGTTATTGGGCAGCATGATTGCAACAGATTTTGCTTCTTTTTGTACACAAATGACATTTACAGGGACATATTATTTACAAATAAATGAGTATTTTCATGCTGTTTCTTTCACAAAACCCCTTAAATACTACAAAAAAAACAAATGCTGTTTATTATTTGTAATGGAGTACATTTGCTTCACCTATGGACTTTTCTGGCATTGTCAGTTTGCCCATTGCTTACTTTGTTTTTGTGCTGTAGAGCACTCGAGTTTGAGTCAGGAAAACACACTTTTTACAAAAGACATAAAAGCAATGTAAAACCACGGTAAAAATATGCGGTCACAGTAACATTTCAGAATTGCTAAATGTAGACAGCGCCCTCTTAAGGATTTGTCATCTGAAACGTACATTAAAACACACCCAGAGCAACGTACTTTGTTTTGCAAATATGTAGGCAGAGATAAAAGTAATCTAAAATCAAGGTAAAAATAAATGGTCGCAGTCCACTTTTCTCTTACGTTGACTTTTGAAAACACTATTTAGCTCAGTGGTTCGCCAGCTGATTTGTAAGACGAGCGTTGTCTTTTTCTGAATGTTTACAAGAAGGACGTGTATCTTAAAATGTACAACAAAATGATCCCCAAGTTACATATTTCAGATCTGCTAAATGTAGACAGCGCCCTCTTGAGGACTTGTTATCTGAAAAGTACATTATAGTGTACCTGGAGCAATGTATTTTATGTTTCGCAAAAATGTAGGCAGAGATAAAACTAGTGCAAAATAAAGGTAAAAATATGCGGTTGCAGTGCACTTTTCTCTTACATTGACTTTTAAAAACACTATTTAACTCTGTGGTTTGCTAGCTGATTTGAAGCGATGTCTTTTTCTGGATGTCTACAAGAAGGACGTGTGTCTGAAACGTACAACAAAATGAATCCCATATTACATATTTCAGATTTGGAAAGTGTAGACCAGGGGTCTCAAACTCAATTTACCTGGGGGCCGCAGGAGGCAAAGTCTGGGTGATGCTGGGCCGCATAAGGGATTTCACAAAAAAAAGTCCTCAAATGTCATTATTAACAGTTTTAATTATTTCTTCTGAACATGAAGTGTCCTGAACATTAATAGAACATTGAGTGAAGATTATGAACAGTTCTTCTGAACATGGCATCTTTTGCCTACTTCTTGCTGCCAGAGACTTGACAGCGCTTCTTCTCACAAATCTGAACCACATTTGGCTTTAGAGCGGAAGCAGTTGAGACCCCCAGTATGGCTTGAAGATGATCATCATTAAGTCTAGACCTGTACTTTGACTTATTGATGTCCTAGGGAAAAAAGTGGGGGAACAAACTCAAAACTTCCATTCCCTCACCTAAAAAAAGGCGTATATATGTATAAATGAAACACCCCCACCCCACTCCAGTCACATCAGTCTGTACCAGTCTGTATCTACCTATAATATATATAAGATGCAGGCTGTAGCTAGGTAGGTGGCAGGCTGCAGATAGGTAGCTAAGTGGCAGGCAGGGGCGGGAACAGCTTACCTTGGTTCTGGCCGGCGCGAGTTTCCTCCTAACACTTCCCGCCCGTCACAGCGTCTAACAAAGGGGCGGGTTGTGTGGTGACGTCACCGGCATCCCCGCCCCTTTGTTTACACGGCGGGCGGGGAATGCCAGTGACCGCTTTGTACGGATAGAATCAGCGGAGCGGGGAGCGCTCACTCTCCCCGCTCCGCTGATTCTGTCAGTGTACAGCGGTCGGCGCGGGCCACAAAATATTGCACTGAGGGCCGCGAGTTTGAGACCCCTGGTGTAGACAGAACCCTCTTGAGTATTAGTCATCTGAAACATACATTAAAACGTACCCAGAGCAACGTACTTTGTTTTGCAAATATGTAGGTAGAGATAAAAGTAATGTAAAATCAAGGTAAAATAAGTGGTCACAGTGCACTTTTCTCTTACATTGACTTTTAAAAACACTATTTAGTTCGACATACGTTAGCTGATCTGTGAGACAAGCGATGTCTTTTTCTAGATGTCTACAAGAAGGACGTGTATCTGAAACGTACAACAAAATTAATCCCAAGTTACATATTTCAGATTTGCTAAATGTAGACAGCGCCCTCTTGAGGATTTGTCATCTGAAACGTACATTAAAACACACCCAGAGCAACTTACTTTATTTCGCAAATATGTAGGCAGAGATAAAAGTAATGTAAAATCAAGGTACAATAAGTGGTCACAGTTCAGTTTTCTCTCACGTTGACTTTTGAAAACACTATTTAGCTTAGTGGTTTGCTAGCTGATTTGTAAGACAAGCATTGCCTTTTTCTGACCATTTACAAGAAGGACTTGTATCTGAAACGTACAACAAAATGAATCTTAAGAAACATTTCAGATTTGCTAAATGTAGACAGCGCCCTTTTGAGGACTTGTTATCTGAAATGTACATTATAATGTACCCGGAGCAACGTACTTTGTTTCGCAAAAATGTTGGCAGAGATAAAACTAGTGCAAAATAAAGGTAAAAATATGCGGTTGCAGTGCACTTTTCTCTTACATTGACATTTTAAAAACACTATTTAACTCTGTGGTTTGCTAGCTGATTTGAAGCGATATCTTTTTCTGGATGTCTACAAGAAGGACATATGTCTGAAACGTACAACAAAATGAATCCCATATTACATATTTCAGATTTGGAAAGTGTAGACAGAACCCTCTTGAGCATTAGTCATCTGAAACATACGTTAAAACGTACCCAGAGCAACGTACTTTGTTTTGCAAATATGTAGGCAGAGATAAAAGTAATGTAAAATCAAGGTAAAATAAGTGGTCGCAGTGCACTTTTCTCTTACATTGACTTTTGAAAACACTATTTAGTTCGACATACGTTAGCTGATCTGTGAGACAAGCGATGTCTTTTTCTAGATGTCTACAAGAAGGACGTGTATCTGAAACGTACAACAAAATGAACCCCAAGTCACATATTTCAGATTTGCTAAATGTACACAGCGCCCTCTTGAGGATTTGTCATCTGAAACGTACATTAAAACACACCCAGAGCAACGTACTTTGTTTCGCATATATGTAGGCATAGATAAAAGTAATGTAAAATCAAGGTAAAAATATATGGTCACAGTTCACTTTTCTCTTATGCTGACTTTTGAAAACACTATTTAGCTCAGTGGTTCGCTAACTGATCTCTAAGACAAGCGCTGTCTTTTTCTGGACGTTTACAAGAAGGACGTGTATCTGAAACGTACAACAAAATTAATGCTAAGTAACATTTCAGATTTGCTAAATGTAGACAGCGCCCTCTTGAGGATTTGTCATCTGAAACGTACATTAAAATGTACCCAGAGCAACGTACTTTATGTTTAGCTAAATTGTAGGCAGAGGTAAATACTTCCAATGAGCCTGTTTTGGTTTATTTTGCTTGTATGTGCTGTAACATCGAACATCATTCGCACCACAACTGGCCTAGAAAACCCTCATTCGGTAGCAGTGGTCTGTCAGTCTCTTTGAGTGCTACTGCAAATAACACTGAAGAAAATAGCTGAAAAGACATTAGTATTGATCATTTCACAGACAAGGCACTGTAGGTTCTGCTCACGGATGTCTAGTATACTCTCACTAAATATCTCTAACACAATTGAGTATCTATCACAGAACTACTGTCACTATCCTGGCGAACATCCAGTTTTGCTGTAAAAGTGCTGACTGATAAAGCCTGTAGCCTTTGAACACCATCATTCTTATGTGCATGCAGCTTTTACAAACCTTTCAATTACACTTTTAGAGCTTAATCTCAGAGTCAGTTGTTGTTTAATTGCAACGAGGCTGTTTTCTCCTTTCAGATCTGGGAGCCCCAAAAACAAACACAAAGACAAGAACAAACAGAAGAAGAGGTGAGTTCTGTTTGGCCTTATTACATTTCTGAAAGGCTTAAACGTCCATCTTGTGGTCCAGTAATGCCTAGTTCACACTAAATGATTTTAAGCCTGATTTGAGCCCGGTTTGGAAGTTAACGAGCTCGCCGACAGATCGGGCTGTGATCGGGAAGAAATCTGCGGGTGCTCGGCGCTCGCTGCTCTTTATGTGTGAACTACTGAACAACGCATCAACGAGGCTCGCTGACGCGTCGCCGACACCTCGCAGACGGAAATCCAACATTCAGCATGCTAAATATTCCAGAGCAGTCGGCCGACGATGAGTGATTAATCCGCGGATGAATCAGCTGATTTGACGATGTTTTTAAAGGCTTTCTCCAAAGCTTGAAACTCTGTCAGTGATGTAATCCGCACACAAGCAGCCAATAGTGTTCAGCTTTTTC